CATGTTTATAGCAGTCTCGGATGATGACCCAGCATGTTGTTCGTTTTAAGAACACTTTCACTGCAGATTTGTTAAAACACAAAAAAAGGTACCAATGTGAGATTTCTAAAGGTAGCTACAGCACTCGACCCAAGGTTTAAGAATCTGAAATGCCTCCCAAAATCTGAGAGGGACAGGGTGTGGAGTATGCTTTCAGAAGTCTTAAAAGAGCAACATGTTATCCGGAAGCTACAGAACCCGAACCACCAAAAAAGAAAATCAACCTTCTGCTGAGATATCTGACTCAGGTGATGAAAACGAAAATGTGTCGGTCTGCACTGCTCTGGATCATTGTCAAGCAGAACCCATCATCAGCATGGACGCATGTCCTCTGGAATGGTGGTTGAAGCATAAAAGGACATATGAATCTTTAGCGCATCTGGAATGTAAATACCTTGCGACACCGGCTACAACAGTGCCATGCAAACGCCTGTTCTCACTTTCAGGTGATATTGTAAACAAGAAGCAGGCAGCATTATCTCCTGCAAATGTAAACAAACTTGTTTGTCTGAGCGATTGGCTGAACAAGAAGTAGGACTGAGTGGACTTGTAGGCTCTAAAGTTTTACACTGTTTTATTCTTGAATGCAGTTTTTTTGTACATAATTCTACATTTGTAAGTTCAACTTTTATGATAAAGAGATTGCACTACAATACTTGTAGGAGGTGAATTGCAAAATACTATTTCTTTTGTTTTTTTACACTGCAAATATTTGTAATAAAAATATAAAGTAAACACTGTACATTTTGTATTCTGTGTTGTAACTGAAATCAATATATTTGAAAATGTAGAAAACATCCAAAAGTATTTATATGGTATTCTATTATTAACAGTGCGATTAATCACGATTAATTTTTTAATTGCTTGATAGCCCTAGTACTGACATTTGCCACCAGTTGGCCACTCAGTGGCACGTGGCAGCCGAGGCTTCAAGGGAACCCAGACATTTCACAGCTGCGAATAAAAGAGGGGAAATTGGTCCTTATCCAGGGAAACAAGGGCCCGGTAATTCCTCAGCATCTGGTCCCGATACAGCTGCTTCTCTGGCTGGGACAAGAGCTCCCACTCCTCCCGGGTGAAATACAGAGCCACATCCTCAAACGCCACCTGGAGCTGCTGGCACAAGCGTTACACACTCAGCACCTTCCGCTCCAGCCCCTCAGCCCGGAGTCTCAGCAGGGGATGCGGTTTCTAGGGGAGCGACTCCCAGGGAACCCCCAGCCCAGCAGCTGTGACCCAGGGAGACCCCCCCACTCAGCTCCCCAGGGACTCGGGAGCCCTGCTGAGGGGACAGGAGTTGCCTTTGGCTTCACATGGGCAGGGGTGAAAGTAAGTCTAGGAACTTACCAGTATGGGGCTGGGCTGGGGCCGGCTCTGGCCCCCAGAAGGGGCGGGGCCCCAGGAGGAAGGGACGGAGCTGGGGGGGTCAGAGTCAGCCCCGGCCCACCCCGTACCAGCAAGTGCCTCCTTCCCCCTCCCCGGGGCAGCAGTGGCAGCTGGGGCTCTGGCAGTGGTTTAAAGGGCCCCGGGCAGTAGTGGTGGCCGGAGCCCTGGGCCCTTTAAATTGTCCCCAGAGCCTGCCGGAGCCCTGGGGAAGTGGCTCGGCCGCGGCTACCACCCTGGGCCCTTTAAATCACCGCCCCAGCCCTGCCGCCGCTACCCCAGGGCTCCGGCAGGCTCCGGGGACAATTTAAAGGGCCCAGGGCTCCGGCAGCAGGGGTCTGGTAGCAATTTAAAGGGCTGGGGGCTCCAGCCGCTGTAGGCCCTTTAAATTGCACCTGGGGAAGCCGATCCACCCCGGTACGGCGCACCGGCTCTTCCCGGTACACCGTACCGGGGTGTGCCAGCTTACTTTCATCTCTGCCCAGGGGGTTCTGAGTCAGGGCCCTGGGAAGGGCCTGAATCCCAGGGCAAGAAACAGGAGTCCCCGCCTCTGCCACAGGCCTGTGCTCAGCCCCACTCCCGCCCCTGGCTCGGGCACCTCAGGGCTCCTTTGCCAGGCCAGGGCCCTAAGGGTAAAGGGACAGCGCCCATCTCCACATGTCCGCCTGGCCAGGACCTTCCCCTCCCTAGTCCCAGGGACGGTCCTGGCTTTCTGTGGGAGGGTCCTGGGGCCCCAAAGCCTCTCCCCGGCTCCAGCTGCTGCAGCCCTGGGCCCCTGGGCTGCGCTAGTGCAAAGCAGGACCCCAGGCCCTGCCTGGCCATGCTGAGCCGCTCCCGACCCTGGGGCAGTGCTTGGCCCGGGTCAGCACCACCCCCCGGGGTCACTAGCGCGGGAGGGACCCGGGTCCCCGCCCCCCTTGGGACCAGCCAGTGCCCGGCCGGGGAGTCCCCGCCCCGCGTCCTACCTGTGCCGGCCCCGCTGCAGCCATCGCCATGGTCTGGGGCTATTGGGGTCTGGGGCAAGGCGAGGTCCTTGGTAGCAGGGAAGGGACAGACAGGGCGTGTCTGGAGAGAGGAGAAAAGGGGCCAAGTCAGTTCCCAGGGAATCCCCCGAGGAGAGCGGGACCCCGTTATTCGGGGCCTGGGGCAGGTGTGACATTCTCAGTAACATCCCAGGGAGGGGGCTGGGATTACACCCCCCCCCCCGTCACTGCCCTACTACGGGCGCGGGAATGAAGCCCCAGGTTAGCTCAGTTGCAGACCCCTCTCCCACTTCGTTGGCACCGGCTGGTGGGGGGGCGTCACCAGCCCCCTTCGGCTCCGAACCCCCCCCCGGCGGCCGCTTTCCCCGGGCAGCGATTTCCTGCCTCCGCGGCTGTTTCTCCCCCTCCCCTGCGCCCCGCTCACCGACCGACCCCTGGGCTGCAGCGGGGACCCGCCCTGCGCACGGGCCGGGCTGGGGACCCAGGTGTCCGGCCTGGCGCGGGAAGGCTCCTTGGCCCCGCCTGCTCCAGGGCGGATTTAGCGCCCCAGCCAGTAACCCGCCCCGCCCCGCGCCGCGCAGACCTGTGCGGGCCGGAGCCTGTCCCCGCTGGGCGGGGGGCAGGAGCCGCCCGGCCCCCTTCTCCAAGGGGCTCCCTGGGGCTGGAAACGGGGCCGCGCGGGGCTGTAGCGGGCCCGGGAGTCCGTGGGTCAGGTACAATCCCCGCCCCGGGCTAGCGCGGCAGCGCTATCCGAGAAGAAGCTCACCCACACTGAGCTGGTAGATAGGGTGAGAAAGGTCCATGAGAAATCACGCTTTTCCCATCAGAAAAAGCTCACCCTCAGTGAGGTGCGGTGCAGCAGTCACCCGTAGTGTGGTGATGTACAATGAGAAGGGGGGGCGTTGGGGCAGTTTAATACCCAGGGTCCTGTATACCCTAAAAACAGCATTTATCCTCTTGCAGAGTGATCATTACTTTGGGGTCTTGGATGTGAAGAATGTGTGGGGTAAGATATTTCTGTGACCTTTGCTGCATGACCTGTAACCCTAACAATAGCCAGGTTTGCCACCAGAGCTGCAGACTCTGTCTGAGCACACAGTGAGTTACCCGCCCAAACCTCTGTTACTCAGACATGCTAGGGGCACCCCCCTTACCAGTTCCTAGGGTTCAGGCATAACTTTATATGCTGCGGGTTTGCAGGATCTTTTACCAGTGAAAGAGCCTTACACAGCAATATCCTTATCCTCTTTATTAACAATCAACAAAACCAGAATGCTCACGCTAAGCATACAATACTCATCACTCCCAATAAAGCAGACAATTTTTTCCTGCTGGCCTCTCAGGATTCGGTTACTTGGGGACTCCAGGTTCTGCATGGTATTATTGGCAGGGTGTGGAGGTCTGGCAGCTCTGATCTTGGAGCTGTGTCCTGGAGCAGATTCCAAATAATTACCTTTTGGACCCCAGTTTATATAGTGAAACTTGAGTCCTGCTTCGCTGTACCTTAACCAATCATTTTACTAACCACTCCTAACATTGTGGAACAAGATTCTCTAACCAGTCATACCCCTCCACCTTCATTGATTTACACCTAGCAAAATTAATTATGTAATAGACAGAAACAGTCAAAGAACCAGACAGATCATACAATAGAGAGTGGGGACCATAAAGATCAAACAAAGAATGAGGATTTCACAACCACAACTATTGATAAGTTTCAGAGGAACAGCCGTGTTAGTCTGTATTCGCAAAAAGAAAAGGAGTACTTGTGGCACCTTAGAGACTAACCAATTTATTTGAGCATGAGCTTTCGTGAGCTACAGCTCACTTCATCAGATGTTTACCGTGGAAACTGCAGCAGACTTTATATACACACAGAGAATATGAAACAATACCTCCTCCCACCCCACTGTCCTGCTGGTAATAGCTTATCTAAAGTGATCAACAGGTGGGCCATTTCCAGCACAAATCCAGGTTTTCTCACCCTCCACCCCCCCACACAAATTCACTCTCCTGCTGGTGCTAGCCCATCCAAAGTGACAACTCTTTACATAATCAAGTCGGGCTATTTCCTGCGTAGATCCAGGTTTTCTCACATCCCCCCCACCCCCATACACACACAAACTCACTCTCCTGCTGGTAATAGCTCATCTAAACTGACCACTCTCCAAGTTTAAATCCAAGTTAAACCAGAACATCTGGGGGGGGGGGGGCGAGTAGGAAAAAACAAGAGGAAACAGGCTACCTTGCATAATGACTTAGCCACTCCCAGTCTCTATTTAAGCCTAAATTAATAGTATCCAATTTGCAAATGAATTCCAATTCAGCAGTTTCTCGCTGGAGTCTGGATTTGAAGTTTTTTTGTTTTAAGATAGCGACCTTCATGTCTGTGATTCCGTGACCAGAGAGATTGAAGTGTTCTCCGACTGGTTTATGAATGTTATAATTCTTGACATCTGATTTGTGTCCATTTATTCTTTTACGTAGAGACTGTCCAGTTTGACCAATGTACATGGCAGAGGGGCATTGCTGGCACATGATGGCATATATCACATTGGTGGATGTGCAGGTGAACGAGCCTCTGATAGTGTGGCTGATGTTATTAGGTCCTGTGGTGGTGTCCCCTGAATAGATATGTGGGCACAATTGGCAACGGGCTTTGTTGCAAGGGTAAGTTCCTGGGTTAGTGGTTCTGTTGTGTGGTATGTGGTTGTTGGTGAGTATTTGCTTCAGGTTGCGGGGCTGTCTGTAGGCAAGGACTGGCCTGTCTCCCAAGACTTGTGAGAGTGTTGGGTCATCCTTTAGGATAGGTTGTAGATCCTTAATAATGCATTGGAGGGGTTTTAGTTGGGGGCTGAAGGTGACCGCTAGTGGCGTTCTGTTATTTTCTTTGTTAGGCCTGTCCTGTAGTAGGTAACTTCTGGGAACTCTTCTGGCTCTATCAATCTGTTTCTTTACTTCTGCAGGTGGGTATTGTAGTTGTAAGAAAGCTTGACAGAGATCTTGTAGGTGTTTGTCTCTGTCTGAGGGGTTGGAGCAAATGCGGTTGTATCGCAGAGCTTGGCTGTAGACGATGGATCGTGTGGTGTGGTCAGGGTGAAAGCTGGAGGCATGCAGGTAGGAATAGCGGTCAGTAGGTTTCCGGTATAGGGTGGTGTTTATGTGGCCATTGTTTATTAGCACTGTAGTGTCCAGGAAGTGGATCTCTTGTGTGGACTGGACCAGGCTGAGGTTGGTGGTGGGATGGAAATTGTTGAAATCATGGTGGAATTCCTCAAGGGCTTCTTTTCCATGGGTCCAGATGATGAAGATGTCATCAATATAGCGCAAGTAGAGTAGGGGCTTTAGGGGACGAGAGCTGAGGAAGCGTTGTTCTAAATCAGCCATAAAAATGTTGGCATACTGTGGGGCCATGCGGGTACCCATAGCAGTGCCGCTGATCTGAAGGTATACATTGTCCCCAAATGTGAAATAGTTATGGGTAAGGACAAAGTCACAAAGTTCAGCCACCAGGTTAGCCGTGACATTATCGGGGATAGTGTTCTTGACGGCTTGTAGTCCATCTTTGTGTGGAATGTTGGTGTAGAGGGCTTCTACATCCATAGTAGCCAGGATGGTGTTATCAGGAAGATCACCGATGGATTGAAGTTTCCTCAGGAAGTCAGTGGTGTCTCGAAGGTAGCTGGGAGTGCTGGTAGCGTAGGGCCTGAGGAGGGAGTCTACATAGCCAGACAATCCTGCTGTCAGGGTGCCAATGCCTGAGATGATGGGGCGCCCAGGATTTCCAGGTTTATGGATCTTGGGTAGTAGATAGAATATCCCAGGTCGGGGTTCCAGGGGTGTGTCTGTGTGGATTTGATCTTGTGCTTTTTCAGGAAGTTTCTTGAGCAAATGCTGTAGTTGCTTTTGGTAACTCTCAGTGGGATCATAGGGTAATGGCTTGTAGAAACTATAATTATAACATTCATAAACCATATGAATTATTAATTATATTATATTATATTATAAAAATATAATTATAACATTCATAAACCAGTCGGAGAACACTTCAATCTCTCTGGTCACGCAATCACAGACATGAAGGTCGCTATCTTAAAACAAAAAAACTTCAAATCCAGACTCCAGCGAGAAACTGCTGAATTGGAATTCATTTGCAAATTGGATACTATTAATTTAGGCTTAAATAGAGACTGGGAGTGGCTAAGTCATTATGCAAGGTAGCCTGTTTCCTCTTGTTTTTTCCTACCCGCCCCCAGATGTTCTGGTTTAACTTGGATTTAAACTTGGAGAGTGGTCAGTTTAGATGAGCTATTACCAGCAGGAGAGTGAGTTTGTGTGTGTATGGGGGTGGGGGGGATGTGAGAAAACCTGGATCTACGCAGGAAATAGCCCGACTTGATTATGTAAAGAGTTGTCACTTTGGATGGGCTAGCACCAGCAGGAGAGTGAATTTGTGTGGGGGGGTGGAGGGTGAGAAAACCTGGATTTGTGCTGGAAATGGCCCACCTGTTGATCACTTTAGATAAGCTATTACCAGCAGGACAGTGGGGTGGGAGGAGGTATTGTTTCATATTCTCTGTGTGTATATAAAGTCTGCTGCAGTTTCCACGGTAAACATCTGATGAAGTGAGCTGTAGCTCACGAAAGCTCATGCTCAAATAAATTGGTTAGTCTCTAAGGTGCCACAAGTACTCCTTTTCTTTTTGCGAACTATTGATAAGTGATTTCTTGCCAGACAGAATGCTACCAAACTAAGTTGTCTTTAGCCATCTGAAGATCGGTTTATCTGGTGATGGTGGGTGCTATTAGAACACGATTGCCTTTTTAACAGCCTGATATTACTTTTTTAATGTAATTTAGATGGAATGCAAGGATGTGACTTCGTGCTTCTTAGTCAATGGCTGCTGCTCTTCTAATATGGTGCAGACAAAGGCTTTGGGCCTTGCAATATGGCTACAGGAAAAGGCCTTATCCTTATAAGTGTACAGAGGGTGCTAGAGATGCAGTACTGGCAGGGGGTTCTGCAGGTCCCCATTGTGCTTAGAGACACAGAGGACCTTCGCAACCTGTAGACTCACCTGCCAAGCACCTCCTGCTGGTCATCTTGGGAATTAGCTCTTCAGCCTCAGAGCACCCTCTGCTGGCCAGTGTCTTACCCACCTCAGGCCCCATGTCCCTCCCAGACCCCAGTGCCCCATACCTTGGGGTGCTGCCCCACTGCAGTGCCCTCAGACTCTGGGTCTCCCCTCCCAGGGGAACCCCCAACCCTCTAAGCCCACCTTGCCTCAGTGGCTACTGCCAGTCATCATCTAGCCCCCTTTCCCTGGGGCAGACTGCAGCCTATAGTGGCTACTCAACATTGGCAAGGGGATAGGACCTGCTGCCTTTGCTTATCCCCAGGCTGCCCCTCTGTAGCCCCGGTACCTTTCATAGGTCTTCCACAAGGCCTGCAGCCTTGGGGTTTACTAGGCTGGAGCTCCCTTTGCCCTTCCCCAGCACTGCTCTACTTTGGGTACCTTGCTCCCAGGAAGCTAGCCCTTCCCACTCCAGGGCTAGAGTGAAGCTCCTTCAGCTTGGGGCCCCACAGCCCTTTTATCAGGGCCAGCTGGGCCCTGATTGAGCTGGCCACAGCTGTGGTCAGCTGCTCCCTCAACTGCTCTCACTCCTTTTATCCCAGCCACAGCCCTCTCCAGGGCTGCTTTTAACCCCTGTTCTGCTGGAGTGGGGCAGCTGCTCCACTACACAACCCAAAGCAAAGCCAGTCCAAGATGCTGTGTGACAGCTGTCGGTACTACATGGAAAAAGACCATCCTTGCAAAGGCCGGGACTGTAAGCTGTGTGATGTTCAAGGATCGTAGAAATCCGTTTGCCGCAGAAAAATGCAGAATTTGCATTTTGACAGAGAATCTTTAAATTTGTGGAAAAATAAAAACATATATTCACTAAATGTTACTGAAAGTACCAGTGTCACTTATTCAATGTGCACGACCTCCCTATCCTGCTTGATTTTTGAATGCTCTTTACATTTACATCGCTAAACATACTCCAATAAACTTCCAGCATAGAGAGGTTATTTTTTTAATGCATCTCAGATTTCACTTCAGCCTCCAGACGTGAGTAAGTAAAGTTATGAAAAGATGCCAAAAACCCTTCCTTAGATATTTTTAAGGTCAGGCTTGACAAAGCCCTGGCTGGGATGATTTAGTTGGGGATTGGTCCTGCTTTGAGCAGGGGGTTGGACTAGATGACCTCCTGAGGTCCCTTCCAACCCTGATATTCTATTCTATAGGGAAACTAAAGTTCAGCGTTTCATTTTAATCGCTGAAAAATGCGGATTTTAATGGTTTTTTATGAGAAATTCTGTAGTTTTTTATCACAGAAAACTAGGATCCCTGGTGATGCTGAAGACTGTGATGATCTAAACTAGCAGTTCTCAACACGCGGGCCTCAGGCGGCCCAATTAGCACATAGCTGCAGTCCAACTGTGTGCTAAAAAAAATGCAAAATTTGCTGCTCTGGTTTGGCACGGGGCAGGGCCGGCTGAGGGGAAGATAGCTTCTTGCCTCCTGCACCAGCGCTTCTGCCAGCAGGGGGCTGATGAGTGCCGCAGTGGGGTAGGGGGCAGGAGAGTGGGTCTGTGGGTAAGTTTTTTGGGGGGGCTCTGGGAACTAGGGATTTGCCCCAGGTTTTAGGTGGGCCTCCGCTCCTGACCCCCTTCTTGGGTCCTGGCTGCCAGCCCCACCAGGTGCTAGGCTTCTGGCTGGTGCTGGGGGGTCCCAGCTGCTGCCTGGCCCCATGGGTCCAGGTCCCCGCTGCTGCCCAGCTCCACTCCTGGCCCCACTCTGGGCAGGGGCGCTGGGCATAAGGGACTGTGAATGGTTTTAGGGTGGGGGAACATTGTGGTTCTCAACCTGCGGCCCACAATGATAAACAGGTTGAGAACCACTAGTCAAGACAGACATCTGTGTTTCATGGTCAACAACTCAACATCAGTGCAACCAAGGCATCAGAAAAGTACATTGTGTATGTTGTTCTCAGGGGACCCCTGACCAGATCCCTGGTTACATTTTTGCAAAGCAAGATCTGCTGGTAGTTTACAGGTGTGGAACGTGTGCAGCCCTTGCCAGGCCCTTTCTGGCTAAGCTCTTTTGGAACTACACCTTCCTTGCTCCCTGTGGCGAAGGGGATGACAGATACATTATCCTGAGGCAGCTCTTGAAGGAGAAGATGGATGTAGATCTGGTCGCGCATGAAGGCAAAGTCCTGATTGTGAAGGTGCAGGCCTTGGATGTTTGTTTTATTGACTCTTTCCACTTCTTACCTATGAAGCTCAGCCAGCTAATGCAGGCCCTGGGCTTGGCCTGGGACAAAGGGTATTTTCCTCATTCATTTAACACTTTAAAAGTGAAGACTAGGTCGGGGCTATGGCAGACTACAGTGCTGATTGCATGGTGCCCGACAATTTCTGTGAGAGGGAAGGTGTAGATTTACACAGAGACCATGTCAAGGTGAACCTGGCTAAAAGGCAAATTGCAGAATTGTTTCTGAACTGGCTGTGGGGAAAGTTCGGACAGAGATCAAACCTGCCCAACACCACCCTCGTGAGAGAAA